CCTGTGTACCGCGGCTACCCAGCCTCGGCTGAACGCGCAGCTGCCGCCGCTGGGTCCGCCTGCCGCCGCCCCGAGGGGTGGCCTGCCTCGGGCTCAGCCCGGCTTCCTTCCCGGGGCCCTGCCCGGCGGGGGTGAGTGTGCAGCGGCCCCGGAGGCCCCCGCACCTGAGTCTCCAGGGGTTCTCCAGGAGAGGGAGACCTCAGCCCCTGGACATCCCTCGGGGGGGCCCCCTGGAGGCCCTGTCCGAGCCCCCAAGAAGAAGAAAGTACGGTTCTCCGTGGCCGAGCCGGGCCCTGAGGGGCCGTGTGCAGCGGAGGCCCCGAGGAGCCTCGGGGGGCCGGGAGCCTGGGATGCGGTGGCGGTCGGCCCGCGGCCCCCCCAGCCCCGGATCCTGAAGCACCTGCCCCCCGCAGCCCCCTCTGCCTCCGCGCTGGGAGGACCTGGGTCCAGGGGCTGCTTTGCGCTGACCCTCCCCGAGGCCTACGAGTTCTTTTTCTGCGATACGATCGAAGAGGAGGACGAAGGTGCAGAGGAGGCCGGCCAGGCCGGCGCCCAGTGGCCTGACGTGTGCGAGTACCTCTTCCGGGACGGCCGCGCACGGGCCCCGGGGCGTGGGGCCCACCCTGAGCTGGCGCCCCCGGCCGGAGACCCCGTGCCCATCACCACCCCCGAGGCCTATGAATACTTCCTGGAGGGGGACGGGCTGGAGGGCCGCCCCGGCCTGTCCGCACTCCCCGGGCGGCGAGCCGTGGGGTCCCCCGGGCCTGGCCCCTTGCCGGAGCCTGGCGCGGCCTCCGCCGAGCAGCTGGACCTGGCGGTCAGGCGAGCAGGTGCGTGTCGTGTGGTGCTCGTGCCTGCCCAGGCCCCGGGAACACACTGTCCGGGGAGCAGGGCCAGGACGGGTGCCGGGAGGGGCAGGCCGGGCCCAGGTTCTGGCCCGGGGGCTCTGGGCTGACCTGGGTGGGAGGACCAGTTCCTGGCCCCTGGGCACGGTCCCGCTGGGCAGCCAGGCGGGCCTGGCACTGCCCAGCGCCCCTGCGGCCAGGACCACCGCCTGCCGGTCTTGGGGCAGCGCACAAGGGCCCCAGGCCGCGCTAGGGCAGCGTC